GACTACAGCATTTCTAACAATGGAGAAAGACCAAAGCATGCTGGAGATTAAAGTGTGAACAGCATAAACTCTGAGTTTTCCCTTCATGCTGAAGAACCTGCCCTGCTTCCCTTCCCACCCCCTGCCAAGATAACGATTACTCACCCTATCAGTTCTGAACAAACCCTGGAGCCCTGTATACAAGCTTGATTTGACCAAATTCAATTGCCTGCTTTAAGTATGCCATTATTATATTGATGTACCATACAGTTCTGTTTAAAGTTCTCACAGAGCATGTGCCACTTATCCACAGGGAAAAAAACCCCAACAAAGCAAAACAAAGAAACAACACACCACCCTTTTTTTTTCCTCACTACATTTTCACTTGTGCAATAAGAAGAGACTATTCATGAGTAGTAGTATTAGTCATGACTCCAATCAAGCTGATACAATTTCAGAATACAATGGGGAACCTAACGAACTTCTGAGAGTTTGACAGGGTGCATATCAGCACAGCAAAGGGAGGTAAGGTATTTGAAATATTACAACACATTGACATGCCTCACTACGGGGATAAACATTGGCCCAAGATTGATGTTTGCTGCAAGACTTTGTTACTCGTTCCAGTATTTTGTTTTTGATACCAGTTGGGCATCCTCCCAAGAAAACTGGAATCTTCTTTCTTGGAATGGACAGATTTCAAGGGAACACTATGCAAACACTGATATCTTCCCTCTATGATCTTTGTCTAGTTACAAAGCTGCATATTAAAGATAAGAGGCAATTGCTCTGACATAGAATTTAAGTGTAAAATAAAGAACCAACACTACTCCTTTAAAGCATTTGGCAATAGGGTAAAAAAAATGTGTTTTAAGCCAAAGGAAGCTTTCCTAACAAAGACACAGCAGGCCCTCTATCTCCAAGAGCGTATGCATTTGTTTCTGATTAAAGCAAACCCCAATATTGCAGGCACATATTTGATTGTAAGTGAACTTTCTATTTAGGGGCTGAAGAAAATTAATTGCTTATAGAGAAAGCTTTACTCTAAAAAAAAATAATCCCCAAAACATGACTAAAAAGCCCCACCCCACAGCAAAAAGCTCTATAAATTCAAGATACATATAACTGAAGGAGAAATAATTAAAACACCATTGTCAAAATAATAAATAATTTCTGAATACAACTTTTCCAAATATATTAAAACAAACAAACAATTTATTTTACAGTGTACTTATTCCTAGAAAAGAGACTTTACATAGCAGTTTTGTTACATATTGAATTGTCTTGCAGAGTTCTGGTCATTTTAGAAATCATAATACAGGCAAGTTTACTCGATTCCTGAAAATTCAGTGGGAGTTGCAAAACTAAGTCTTGCTCACACCTTGCAACCAGTAGTTCAAAGGACTAGTCACAGGAATTTAGCTAACTTTGCTGATGAAAAAAAAAACCAAACCAACCACAAAAACCCTCACCAATTTCCCTGTGCGAGATCTACAGATGGTAGCAAGAGTAAGAAGATAAAAGTCCACTGAAGCAGTATGAGTCAAAATATGTAGAAGGTAAAAGCATGCCTCCTCCAAAGTCAACAGGAACTGTTAATAGCTGCACGGAGCTAGGATTTCACCATTTATGAAGCGGTCAGTTAAGCGAATACTCACAACTAGAATAAGGCTTATTCTAGTAAACCAAAACATTTGTGGTTCGAAAAATTGAAGCAGCTTTCATACCTACTTTAAAAATATGTTTCCATTTGTCAACTCACAGTTTTAAGTACAACTCTACAACATTCTGGGAACTGCATGATGCAATCAACACTTCCAATAGAGAAAGGGCTAGCCAGCATGTGATTTAACAGTAATAAAACACTTGAAGCAAACAATTTTGCTAATACATACCAGCGAAAAGGAGACGGCTCCCTTATGGATTTTTACTAAAAAAAGAGGGAAAGCAAGATAGACAAGCGGTTAAATTCAGTATAGTCCCACTAACATATTACAAATAAATACAGCTTTGCAAGAACTCTGGATCTTGATTTGTTCTGCAGAACACAAGAAGCTTTCGGAGCAACTTAGGTTTTCCAGCAAATGGAATGATTCTCAACCTCCTTCCCCAAAAGGAAATAAATCCTTAGAGAACCTCCTGTCTTTGCTGTGTGAACACGGAAGTTCACAAGGAAAACTCCCAACTAGCTTTAGCGTAGGCAGGCCGCTACTCTTACGTGCCCTCAGTAGAAAGATGGGGTCTTCCTGAAAGCAAATCTGAGCTGGAGCTCAGCTTTAACTGCAGCCTCTACTCTTGCAAACTAACTTAGAGAGAGAGCCTGAGAGATCTAACATTTCTAGATTAATTTTTCTCTTCTATACTTTTTTCCTGCCAGGCAGGAAATGAAGATACATTTCTGTATCAAGGCAGAGCTACTGCAGATTTTCACAGCTGAAGTGGTTTTATGGTAAAACAGTCCCATTTATTTTTCACTTGCATTTTTTGAAAGAGCTCTGCATTAAAAATCAAAATATGAAGTCAAAGAACTGAAAAGTATTTCTGTACATTTAGAATTGCTACTGATTCAAATAGAGACAATATACAGCACAATATAGAAAGAGTCTAACAGAAAAAAATTTGGAGAATTGCCAACTTGGGTCTCCCATTTATGAATTTAGCAATCATTTGACATTCAACTGTTGCTTTTCAAGAGATAATTAGTAGCACCTCCTGATGTATTTGCTCCTGATGTACCAAAAGGCTCATTCTTTGAGTTTAAATCTCTCTTTGAAAGAATTTGTGTTTGGAAATATACAGAGGAATTTTCTACCTTTTTGGAATGGCAATATATACACATGTGGCACACATGATGAGGCTGTGTTAGAAAGATAGCTAAATTGATCTTTAAAATCAGAGGGAAAAAAAAAAAAGATTTTGCATCTATGCACACAGGATAGGAGTAACAAGCTTTTACACCACACTTGAAGACTTCATGGGCTAGGAGACAATAATTATGTTCAATTTATAGTGTCCTTTTTCCTGAACAACATATTAACTTTATTCCTTGTTTAGAACACTCACCAAGAAGTGCTGGTTTGCCTGACACTTTGCTAATTCCAGGATAATGCTGCTCTATAATATTTCACTTCCTCCTTGCACCTGCCCTGAAAATAAAATTTATTTACATAGTATCTCCTTTTAGCAGGATAGACCCTATATTTAAAATTAGTTCTAAATAGTTACTTTAGCAACTATTTATCAGATGCTCAGGCATACAGGCAAAGATATATTGATTACATAAGACATACATAGAATCATCTGTCCTGGGAAGAACCAACACTGAAGTTATTCCAAACATTAAATTATTGCTCATCTAATTTGAGAAAGTGTCAAGTCCTATAAGTTAGTACAAAAAATAATTTTTTAAACAAAAAAGTGAAAATCTTGACTATAGATTCATTCAATTTAGAGGGGCTGTTAAGTTAGTCCACAATAATAGTTTTGCTTACATTACTGACTGTTCTTTCCTCTTCACTGTTAGATGGGCTGTTGACGTTGCTAATTCTTAGCTTAAAAAAAGTCCTATTAGCAGTGACTTAACTTCAAAGAGATTAAATTCAAATTAAAAAGTTGCATTTATAATGAAAACTCAGCATATTCTATGAAATATTCAAAATTCTTTATTTCCGGCCAATATAGTATTGTTACAGACATTCATCTCTTGCTCCGCACTTGCATATGATTAAAGTTGGCACTCCCAACCACCAAAAAAGTTAAATGGTTATTACGGTACAGGCACAAAGTAGCCAAACAGCTTTACTTTCCTTACGCAAAGCTGTGATTGTGCTCTAACAGCATTTATTACCAGTGCATAGATTGTTCTCTCCTCCTAAGACCAAGCAAGAAAGGGAAATTTCCCTTAACTGAAGGAACACAGACGGCAGCTCTGCTACTAAAGCAGTTGTTTCATCAGTGGAAGAATGACAGATATCTGGATGCACTGAACGCCTGCCTTCATTGCTTTCAGTTGCACTTAACACGGGCTTGCTCAGAACTGTATTAAACATCCTTGCAGGTCTCCAGTACTGCTTTCATTATTAGAATCACCATCAAAGTGCCACATTTGAAGAATCAATGGGATTTTTTTATTTTTTAAAGTAAAACAACAAAAAACCCAGAAGACTGTCAGTATTGCAGGTCTCTTGCTTCATAACCACCATTTAAAATCTCTTTCCTTGCTAGAAGCATCAATTCCCTTCCATCAGGAAGGCAGCACCGGAGACACTTTGTATGACTTAACTGTAAATTAACACAACTAGTGTATTTTACTGCATTTCAACCTTCCAGTTACAGTGGTAAAGTTAACTATTAGCATATGGAATGAGTATCAGATACTTATACGTACCAAAGGCAAGTTAGTCACAAAAACCTCTACAAATATATTACAAAGAAAACTAGCAGCAAACACTGCTGTCATTACACAGTACTCTTTCATGACAGATGACTGATTGGATGGCCATCTGGAAAACAAGCTGATAACTATAATGTTATAAAAATAGAAAAACAAATATTTGATCATAGTAACTGTATGAACAAGTGTCAGAAGGAGGGAAGTAAGCAAGTATGATTCAGTTAACACAAATTCTACTTATACAAGAGTGCCTCCAAGCCACAAAACACGTAGTTTCAGTTTTACATTAATCATCAAAACTTCAGTCTGATACATGCAACTGACTCTGGCAAGCATGTCTGAATAGGCAAGGGAACATAATTCTGTAGATTCTTCTCTATAGCACGCAGCCCCATGCCATTGGTACGAATGCCAGTCTTCACTTACATGATGCATTGTAGCAGCAAGGTGTATTGCAGTTCAGAATGGAGGGAAATGGCAGAAAAGCGCATACCATGCTTTCATCGTAGGTAAGTTTCAAAATATGCACTATATGTGTACAGTTTGTTTCTAGGCACATCTTTGGTTACATTCTCAATACAGTCTGCTTTACAAAAAAAAAATAAATAAACCAGTCAAGACTTGGTTAAAATCCAGGCAAAGATAAAACTTCTTTTTTTTTTTTTTCAGAAAACAAGACAGTAGAAGTCCCTTTAAATTGACGTTTTATTATATCCATAAACGATAAAATCCCAATGCTACAGTAAGGCATGTAAATACTGAACCTGAAAGAAAATAAAAATGGGGAGGAAAACAGAGACATTAAATCATTAGCTCTTGGAACACTTCTTCAGACAGCTATGTATGCATCTTACTACAATACTAAAAGTGTAACCACCACCCCTTCTCCATGTAAGAAAATAAGGTTTTTGATTTACATAAACAATGTCAAGGTGGAGGCGCACAAAAATGACAAATAAGAAGGAAGGAAAAAGAATGCAGGAAAACCGGGCTGGAAAACTATCAAAAGGCCGAAAGAAACCCTTAGGTGCTTACCACTCCAAAAAAGATCAATATGGCAAGTTACAGTTGTAAAGTGAGGAAATGAGTAACAGGATTATTAAATCACAGTCAAGCATTCAAACAAATGAAAGCTATCTTTAACAAGCCTTACCAGTTCGCAATTTTTAAAATTCCTATTTAAATGAAATCAACTTTTGGTTTACTAGATATACACACAAAAGTTTTTTGCCACTGTTTGCAACAGGAGAACATCAAACACAATGCAAATGATTTTTATTTATTTTTTTTTTTCATGCAGAGTTCAACATATTTTTGCAGAGTTCAACATAGGGATGGTGGGGAAAAGAATTTCCTCTCATTTTAATAAAGTGCCTTTCATTTTCCAGTAATGGTTCTCTCTAACGGATATGCCTGAAGTACAGTACTATGAATAGATGTAAGTGATTGTACTTGTGACAAAATCCATTGTAAAAGAATAATCAGAAAATCTGTATCATAAGAATAATTTTCTACTGCAAACCTGCTCATTTAATAGCACTGCACACTCAGTAGCAAAGTGTCAAAATATTACAGTTACCTAGGGCAATAATGTTGGCGCACACACACACAGTATTTTTCTAATGCACGTGCCTGAAAAATGAAAGTTTAAAGAATACGTGGCACTGAACAGTCAGAAAAGCTGAAATGTTCTATTTTGCATACAGATCTCCATTGGACAGATGAAGAAATCCTAGAAGTGCATGCAGCAGGCTGCTTTTGTAAATTAAGTCAGGCACAGAAGAACTTTTTGGCCCTTGTCAACAGGCAGTCTTTTAGATTTCTCATATACATTATTATTACAGTATAAAGCAGGGGGAAAAAAAAAAATCAAAAAGTCAGAGAGCCACAGCCCATGCAAAATAAAGTTGCGGATCACAGGAAACTTTGTCTGGGTTAAGTATACAAATAAGGCTGCTAATCTTGACTGAGACTATTTCAAGTATTTTTTTTTTTTTAATCAGGGCCTTTATGAATACAGCCATTTGAGAGTTTGCCAAACATTTAACAATGTTTAACAGTTTCACCATGAGAGACAACCATCAGATTGCTTACCTGCTAAGTACTTAATATTATCAAGTTTGTGCGATTCAAGCATTGTTTTCAGGTCTGCAACTTCTGTGTCTATTTTTCGGTCTGTTTGGGTCAAAGCTCGATCTTGTTGTGCATGCTAAAAAGCAAAGCAACAAAATGATGCAATTTGAACAGTTTCTAGTTTATTTAGTAATTTTACCCATCCCTTCAAGCTGTATTTTTGGTTCTTCCTTAAATGTATGTTAATTTGCATTCAAAGAGAACAAGTTCCTTCCTAGCTGATTATATCCAAGGAATTGAATAATTTGGTGAACTCGGGAAATTTAAATGATTACATGTTCCTTAACATGTAATCTAGAAAGTGGCAGAACTAGATGCCTTCTTATCTCAATCTAGCAGCCTAAATATTAACATCAATCTGTTGTTTGGCCCACTGATATTAAAGTCACTACTCAATTATAAGAGCTATTGAGAGGTCTAAGAGCCTTTTGTGACAAAAACATACCGGAGCATAAAGATTTATGGATCATTAGAGAAAGTGAGAATTGGTCTTCTGATGTAAAAAAAGAGCACGTCTTCACCTTGTAATGAATTCTACCACAAAACCAGCTACAGACAAATTCAGAATCTGATTATGACAGAAGACACGACTTCTGTAAGAAAATGGGACAGAATTATTACTCAGAAAAGACTGAAAGATCAAACTTGTAAACTGAGAACAGCTGCTGAGCTGCTGATATTGTCAAATCAGCACTACTGAAACATTGTGAATCAGTTAATGATTTACTGCTAGACACCTTCCTAGGAATAATTCCCTATACTACAGAAAGGAAACAAAGGAAGAGGAAGTGCTTGGTAAAAACCTCCTCTAAAATGAAGCCAAATCAGTCTAGCAGCGTGTTTCAGTCTCACTGAACACAGGGGAAAAAAACTGATTTCACAAACTAACATTAAGAGTAGAATTCCATCTAGAGAAAATACTGCATGCATGAAGTTTCAAATCAAAGTGACCACTGGACAGTTTATATATACATGCAGAGGGTCTAATAATATACATGAAAGCCTTCTTATTCTGTAGACACTTCAGTTACTTGTACCAATATGAAAATACACAGGGAAACAATGAAGTACAATGACATTTTGTACATTAAAGTGCCTAAAGACATGAACAACTCTAAAAAGAATACTGGGTCTATAACACAAGTACAAAAAGATTTGCTGTGTAATAATCAGCTACCATTCTTACCAATTCCACTATTTCTGTCCTCATTTCAAGTAGTTTTCTTTCATTAAGTGAGTACTAGAGGGAGGGAAAAAAAAAAGAAAAAAGATAAACATATTGTCATTAACCTTTTCCCCCCACACTTAAAAGCATATTCCTTTGTTTCCAAATTCTGTAGAACACTGAATATGGACAAGATTATTGTCTGACAACACTTGGAAGACAGCGTTGTAGGTAATTGCTGTCCTGTGGAAAAGCACAGTTTAGACAGGTGTTCATCCACACCTCTGAACTGTTAAGTGTAACAAGTCCATCAGACACTCACCTTCTGCAAAAACTGTATATATTAATAAGCAGCTGGAAGAAAGGTTGGCAGATTTGCATTTCTAAACAGTAACTCTGGAACAGTTAACTAATCCATTGAGCATACAAGCACAATTAAGACTGAACCATCTACTTTCTTCAGAAAGGGGAGTACAATTTTTAAACATCATATCAAACTCAGCTACCAAAGAAATGTTTAGCCAGCACTGCATGCACTCACCATTTGTATTGTTCTGACCATCATTTCATGATATATTTGTTAAATATAGGACCTTTGTATCTCACATTAAGCCATTCATTTGTGGAACATCAGAAGCTGTGGCTTATTTTTAAATTATAGCTATTTGGGTTCAAGGAAAGTTAAATCGAAATTGAAGAGGCACACCTTTAAGGCAGGTCACCCTTATGACTCATGAACAGGCACGATTTACCTTGACATTGATAATGGTTCCTGTCCCACTACTGGGGCAATTAAATTATTCATGGACAGCTGCTAAACTACCAGTCTATAGTGCAGAGTATTAAGGTCATCAGGCACCCATCTCAGAATCCTCAGTTAAACGGCAATAACCTCATCTGTTGACATTCCCATGTGGAAAGTCGCTTTATTTTTCCTCCACTCTGGAAGCTTATTCCACTTTAATATTAAACTCAGATTAATCTACATAAATGCTTCAGCATTGAAAAATGCTCCTTACAGATCTAGAGCTCTATTTGGACTTTTGACTGAAGTTAAGATGAAGTTAAGAGATAGCAGTCTGCTACAAATGTAGAAAATGACATAAAAGAGACAAGTAACAGCATGTCTGCAATTAATGAAACAGTCACTGGATTCTGCAAAATGAGGAGAAAGATAAACACAGAAATTCAGACATTTTATATAAATATATGGTTTTGAAAGTGGTAAGATGGCAGAATATTTATAAAAGAACCTAATTAAAATTAAGTTTGAGGTGAAATTTCACATAAGAATAGGACCTCACATTAATAAACTGATCATCACTACCAAAACCCATGACATTTAAAATAAACAATATTATGGGTTGAAATAGCTCGCCTGTTTTACTTTAAATAGATGCTGTTAGCCAAATACACATTTTCTGACCAATTTATATTCTACAGGCTTCTTTCTTGATGTTTGTGTTTGTTGAAGTTTTGCTCTGTGGCTAGAAATTTAGGTCAGACCCAAGAATTTTAAACTTGGGTTTAAGACAGTGAAATATACCCTTTTACTGCAAGGCATCACCACACATCTGTAATAACACCAGTGCATAAAAAAAGTTGGAAAGACAACGTTAAACTTCCCCCCTGAAATTCAACAGGGAGATTTCCCCTTGAGTCCATGTTTTTCACAGTGCAGAGAAAATTCAGTTCTCAGATGCACCTTGATATTTTTAACAGCAAGCTTAGAGGCACTGTGATGCATGAACACATGAATATATATGGAATATTGTACTGTACTTCAAGTTTTTAAATCACATCTGTATCACTGCACATATAATTCACAGCATAAACAGATGTGCATTAAGCAATTTAGGACTCTAAGAAATGTAAAGTGGAATGAACTAACGAAAAGATAAAGCATTTAGAGTTTGAAACATTAATGACTGCCCACATCGGTGTTGACAAATTAAGAAATCGTCCTTCAGTTCTTATTCCAAGCAAAACTGAAAGACAAAAACATTTTACTTAGTGCTTCAAGTTGAATCAATTTAAACTTAGGACATTTCTCTTCTGAATAGTAACTTACTAAGAATGCACAGTAACCTTCAATTATCCTGAGTTTTACTCTCAGAAAGCTAGATATTGAGTCCTAAGTCACATTACAATTGAAGTAAATATGATAATGATGATCTGTCTGCTACAGGAAATACCGGATTACGTCTCTCCCCTAACTCAGCATATATGCTAGAACCTGCTCCCCATTCATCTGCCTTTTTCCTTTTCTGTTCATGCATGGCAGAGCTGGCAATTGAAGAGGGGCGGGGGGGTGGGGAGCAGAAGAGCAGTTTTCACAGAAACAATGACATTATAGTTGCACAACAGACTACAAAGTTGATCAACTTTCTTAAGAGAAAGTTGACATGCACAGTTTGCTTTTCCTGGGAGGCAGTCAAAACAATGTAGTGTTCTGCACAACAGAGTCCAGATTCCAGGATCCTACATAAATACACAAAAAACCACTAGTGCCTAATTTATCACTGGTGAAGTGGTTTTAAACAGGTTTTGTAAGCCTGAAGCTTTGCAAAGCTTATCATCTACACAGATAATACATTTCATATGATTTTTTTTTTTAAAAATTAGCATGAAGTATCAACCTTTAAACAAGAATTCTACCTGCTCAAGTTGTACTTTATGCAAGCATCTACCACGGGATAACAGACTGTTAGTCATTATACTAAATCACTGACACAGCTGTTACCTAAACTAAGCATGTGAAAAACTTCAAGGGGCACACACAGAAGATGTATGATATCAACTTGAACCCTTCTTATTGCCTAAATTGGAGATAAATACTACATCTTCATTATACACCTGTGAAAAAGGACTGATAAGGAATAATAGAAAAATGTCATTAAAAGATCTTTCAATTTAGAAGATGCAATTTCTCTGAGGTCCTAAAAGCTATTAAAAAAAATATCTATGGGAACAGAATTCTATTTAGAGTGCTACATATAATGCAAAAACTTGTTAATCTTCTAATTCTTCATCTACGTTATTCTAATTTAAGATCACATCAGTTCAGTCCTACCAGATATTTCAAACGTTCAAAACAATCTGAACCAGTACCAGTTACAATTAAAAAAAATAAATTACAAGTACTTTCACAATAGGTGTTTCCTGACAAACTACCTATGCTATAAATTCTCTAGCTATAGGGAAATGAAACATCTCCAGTGATGATAAAGTTAATGAAATGTGTAAACTTAATTAAGTGTGAAAATAGAGAAAGAGATGTACTAATAACATAGAAAACCTCTAGGCAGCTAGTCAGCATATTTAGATTAAATATCTAATATATTTAAGTGTAATGTGTTAATCCTGATATTAATATCAAAATAGAAAAACATAAAAACCAAATATGACACCTTGTACTATAGCAGCATAAGGATGAGTGACTTGAATTAATACTTTGAAGGTGAATGATACTATAGATTAGTATGAAAATGCTCTTTGGGTAAGATGCTTTTACCCAAATTTGGAGATTACTCAGTGTTGAGGTGTTTCTAGAAGAAAGTAACCAAAACTTACCAATTCTTTTACTCTGCTCTTCTCTAGGTTTAGGTTTAATTTGTTATCTGCACGAACTTTGGTAATTTCATCCTAATGGGAAAAAATTGATAAAGCAGAAACCAAGACTTTATTTAATCATAAGCAGAAAGAATTAGACAAATATATTGTGCCTTTCTTTACATATTTCAGGAATCAAGCTTTTCTCCAATTAAAGTACATAATTTTCAAAAGTACAAGTATTCCTATTCTTCCCCTGGGAAATACTCATGTTCTATAGTACGAACTGGATTTCGGAATTAAAAACTGACAATTACTTTTAAAACCAGAACACTGAGAACTGCACTTAATTGAGAGCACATCCTTTTTTAAGTGCCAGGAATGTTTCATAACTCATAACTCTGATTTCTAGAAATCCATGCCTAGGTACACCTATAAGTTGGACTTCCTCCATGGAGCAACCTTGATGCTCAAAACAACTTTAAAAGCAGTTTCTAACCTTCCAATATAAAAGAAAATATGTTTCTAAAGATTACATCTAGGGCCTTCAGAAAAAGCTAGAGAGTCAGGAAATGTATATTTTTAAACATCTAACTTTTAAAAACTACCCTAAGTTGTACACTTGCATTTTACTTCATCAAAAGCTGTAAGTGATTCCTGCTTTTCTCAGTGACAGCTGCCATTTTAATGCAACCTCCTGGCAGGAATTCCAGCCAGCTGATAGTTTGTCATGCGGCAAACTGCTGATCAGATGAATGTGTGGGAGAAGCAAAAGATTGCTGATGTTCTGGGAGATTCTACTATTAAAACCAAATAAGCATCTCTCAAGTAGGCCAATGTCAACTAGTCAAGAGTTCATTAAATTAATATGAACAATAATGAGACTCAATTTCTATGTCTGAATTTTTGACCTTTAACTGGTTTATAATTAGATGTCATTACAATGTGATATATTACAGTTTAATCAATCAAAAATTAGAAATAATTTTTTCTTAAACTTTTACAACATTGTGTCTTTTTGCCTTTTAGAGGAACAAGTATGAGCAAACATAAAATAACTTGCCCTTGTGAGAATTACATTTAAAAGTAAAATTTAAAGACATCTAGCTTTTAAGAAAATATGACTCAGATCCTTGATGCTCTATCAGTGGATTACGCTATCTTATTTATATGCAACTAAAACCATAAAATAAGTTACAATTCAAAAATTAAATGACCAATGTATTTAAAAATGGTATTCTGAAAACCCAGATGCATTAAGCACTTCATAACACAGTATGAAACATGCAGGATTAGCCTTGAGAAATTTATGTTCTCCTTTTGGAGATGACAGTGCAAAAAGAAATCAAAGATAATAGGAACAAAACAGCAAGGAGGCACCAGGCTGGGTTTGACCACATTGTCAGGTAGCTCAACAAGTCCAATAGTCTGACAGTTCCTAGGGAACAAAAAGTGCTCCATCCTTCCAGCTAAGAAGGACATCTCAGCAGGAAACAGCAGTTCTCAAGTCAGATGTCCATACTCCCTAAAAACAGTTAATGTTTCCCAGTTTCCAATCTTAATCACTCTTGCAAGAATGTTTGTTTCTGTGTAAAGGCTGCTTACAACTATACACCCATTGAAATAATAGATTTTAAGACAATCTTTTTTTTTTGCCAGTAAAAGGGTGTTTGGAGCACTATTCAAGACAGGCAAACCATAAAGAACAGAAACACAGCAGTGATGCTTAAACCTGGTAAGAATAAGAATCACTATGATAATTAACAGAGTAAGTCTTCTACAGAGTCTGTTTTCTTGCAATGGTCATTTGCTCCCAAACAAATGGGACCAAACATAATGGTCCCAAACTTAGCGGCCTAAAGCAGCCATTTAAAAGCTATTTAAATTCTCGACAGCTAACAGGTAAGTCTTCAGAGAAAAAAACAACATACCCCCCCCCCCCCCCCCCAACCACCATAACAAGAT